GATAAATCGCAGTGGAACGTCGTGTATGTGCTACCCAAAGTTGTCGCGAGTTCGAATCCTGCCACGGGTCCTTGTTTTTTTTTTCATGTACGTATTTTGAAAAATAAACAAAAAAAAGTTGTGCAAAAGAGCGGTCTCGAACCAGCGCCCTCTCAAGGGCGGCAGCAGACGCGTACCACCAGGCCACAGAAGCGCTTGCTAATAATAAAGAGATGGCGCATTATTGTAGTAAACTTTAAACGTAAAAATTCAAAAAATTCGGAATTTTTTGCTCGGGTTACGTGTTTTTCGTGGGGCAACGAGAAGCTCAGTAACCGTTTTTATCGGGCGGTACCCAAAATCATGGTGGTAACATCACATATATGCAGGCAAAATAGATGATGTGGTGAATAATTAATGAGGAAAGAAATGCATGTGGTAAAATAGTATGTTACTCACACTATAAGTAATATCACAAATACAAGACAAGATGAGTTACACATACAACCTATATGAAGTGTTGCATGACATCACACATATGTTACTCCCCCTATGAGTACTATGAACTGGCATTCACCCCTCTCTTAAAGAAAAACCCTGGCTCCCAGCAACATAAAGGCACCAGTGTCATGCTGTAAGCCGAGTGTCACTCTCGGCTTAATTTTCCTACAGGGAGTAATCGCGTGGTGCCAGTGCCCAGGAATAAGCCGCGACCGTATTTCTTTTTGTGCAAGGCGTATATATAAGCCCAGAACATCAATCTATGCATGGCTTATATGTAAGCCATGTACCTTGCTCTCGGCTTAAATCTGTACCGGCAATGTCATTTCGTTCTAGGAGTTCCAAAGAGCATACACGTGTCTTGTAAGACGCGGTCTATGCTCGGTTTACATGTGTAAACCGATCGAGTACAATAGTCGGCTTAATTTCCTTTTGGGAGCAATCACTTGCCGATAGCGCTCATGAATTAGCCGATTGTGTTTCTTTCTGTGCAAGTTGTATATGTAAGCCAAGAACATCAAACTGCTCACGGCTTATATGTAAGGCGTGTGCCTTGCTCTCGGTTTAAACCAGTATTGGCAATGCCATTTGGTCATGAGCTTTTTTACGGTACCCTGGTACTCCTTACGTAAGGGTGGGAGTACCAGTTAAATCCACTGGTTCAGAAGGGTACTTTAGACTTTTGATCAGCTAATGTAAGTGTAATTCTTTTTTCCTGGATCTAATTCCCTCCCGAAGACTTATCAAGCGCATGTTGCCGCCCCTGGTTGCGTGACCTTGCACGGCTACGGCTGCATCATCCCCTGAGGTCCGCCGCCGGCTGCCCTACAGAGAAACTTAATTACTACAGCCTTTGATCGCCGGCGAGGCCTCTCGGACGTCCGCCTAATCTGAGTACTCGGCCAAGCCATGGATAAGTGTGAATCCTAATAGCTGAGATATCCGGCTGGTTCGCTATGGGCGCTAATAACATCCCGTAACAAGTGGGCACTTATCACACAATACCACATTAATTGTCGGTCTAGATTACCAATTTGCCCATGAAATCAAGGTACTCCGAACTATTTGTGGCGGTACTCCTAGATATCTATAGGGGAGTACCAGACAATGGTAGCCATTAGATTAGAGTAAATGGACGGCTTATATTTACTTGTGGGTACTGTAAAAGAGCTCGTCTCGCATGTCTTTTTGGTCACCTTTTCTAGAAAATGGTGTATGTGGCTTTAACTTCCCACCGCAGACATCTATATCCAGATAGCCATGTATTGGATCCAGATGGGGCGTTCGCTTTAGTCTGTAGAGTTGGTCCCTGGGTGCGACCAACATTTTTTGGAGAACGGGTTAAAACCTCAGGCCTCTGCTTTTGGGTGCAAGCTCGACAGCCTAATATAAATGATGTTCTATCAGTAGACAATGTCAGACCCAGGATATGAATATGCAGATTAACAAATGTCAATCTTCACCACGTTCCAGGATGTAAGAGCCTCTACAGCCGGAATTGGCAAATTCGGCACCTCAAACGACCGGAACACCTTGAAGGCAATGCAGAGGGCCAACTCCTCGTCAAGGTCGACGTCGTAGCCGGAGTGACTGCAGGAGCTCGAATTGCGCCGGATTGAATCGGAATCGGAGAGAGGAGAGGAGAGGAGAGTGAGTGAGCTAGGGTTCCGAGCAAGAAGTTGGATTGGGGTTTTTTGTGGGATAGCCGCGGGGTTGGTGGTGTGCCGGGCCTGCCAGCTCCGATATGGCGGACGTGCCCGGGCATACCCGGGCCGCATCATATCCGCCCTACATTTGGGCTGGATATGAGGGGCGCCGGACAGTCCATGCGTTTGAGGCCGGTTTGAGGCGTCCGGATGGGTCGATTTTTTATGACCAGTCAGTGATCGGTCCGCCCGTCCGGGTGTTTGAGACGTGTTTGGGTGCCTGGCTATAGATGTAGAACGGTGTCTAATTTTTTGAAAGTCAAATTTGGCTACTAACTAGTCCAATAAAACAAAGGCTAACAGTCTCCCATCAAATGGAGGGATGACACCACCAAATAAATTATTGCACTCTAAAATATACCCTTGATAATAGCCAAAGCCCATTTTACACTACCATTTTCCTATAATGCATGAGAGACCGAGACAGAGAGAGTTTGATATTACATAAATGTCCTTTTTGTTTTTTTCTCTCTCCTACTTTTTAAGGGTATATTTTTAATTGATGGTCATTCTACTATTCATTTGTGAATGTCGAGAGTACCTATGTATTGGGTACGGAAAAGGCTTTTCAAAACTGTTTGCAAACTACTGGAATTATTGCAATTGAAAAATTAGATCTCCGAAAGTCCAAATCACTCGGTTTTTAAACTAGAGGCCTGCCAAATTTTATCCTCCTTGGTTTTGCTTATGACATTTGATACACTCATGCTGCTTGTTGACTTAGCCAAACATGGAAGAAGTTCCCAATGCTGAAGAATCCTTCGAAGACGTCTTGGTGACACTAAGTACACATTCTTAGTCAGTTGTTGGCTTGTGCCCATAGTTCTTGAAGATGGTATTTCCACTGTTGTTCTTTCGAAGATTCTCCAATGAGGTGGTTGATGGTACCCTCAGTAGGGTGGTCACTACAAGAAATATGTCAACTTGTGACCTTGACTATTGGTCACTGAAAGGTCATTGTTTTTCATTTGTGACCTTTTTGTGTCCAAAAACAGAAGGTCAAAATCTGGCGGTCGTAAACTGAAATTAACGACCTTCTCTGTGAGAAGGTCGTAGACGTTTACGACAAAAACAGAAGGTCGTCGAACCCATGACCTTTTGTTTTGGTCACTGGCTGTTGATACGTCCATTTTGCATCATGCTTTTATATCAATATTTATTGCATTATGGGCTCTTATTACATATTATATATCAATACTTTTTATGGCTATTCTCTCTTATTTTACAAGGTTTACCATAAAGAAACAAACATTGGCTGGAATGTCAGCAGCTGGAATTTTGGCTAGAAAAGGAACAAACATTGGAAACCTATTCTGCACTGCTCCAAAAATCCTGAAACTCCACGAAACTTATTTTTGGAATTAATAAGAATTATTGAGAGAAAGAAACACCAGAGGGGGCCCACACCCTGGCTAGGAGGGTGGGGGGCACGCCCACCCCTATTGGGTGCGCCCCTGTCTCCTGGGCCCCCTGGTGGCCCTCTGGTGCCCATCTTATGCTATATGAAGGCTTTTACCCTGGAAAAAATCATGGACAAGCTTACGACAAAACTCCGCCGCCACGAGGCGGAACCTTGGCGGAACCAATCTAGAGCTCCGGCAGAGCTGTTCTGCTGGGGAAATTTCCCTCCGGGAGTGGGAAATCATCACCATCGTCATCACAAACGATCCTCTCATCGGGAGGGGGTCAATCTCCATCAACATCTTCACCAACACCATCTCCTATCAAAACCCTAGTTCATCTCTTGTATCCAATCTTGTATCAAAACCACAAATTGGTACATGTGGGTTGCTAGTAGTGTTGATCACTCCTTGTAGTTGATGCTAATTGGTTTACTTGGTGGAAGAT